TAGTATAGATGATGTGATAGAAAAAACTTTCTTTTTTACTACTAAATGAACATTTTCGTTCGTTCTTGAAACATTTTATTTTATTAAAAAATTGTTGTGTTAGTAACTAATTCTTTTATTACTATATCATTACGTGATAGGAATACGCTACCAAGAAATTAAGTTTTAGTTTTATCCTATAAGTTTTATTGTGTCTTTTTTTTAGTGAGCAATAACAAAAACATGTTTTATGATGCATAACAATTGCTTTTAGAAAAGGGATAAAATACCAAAAAGTCAATTTTTAATTCTCAAATTTTTAAAAATTTTCATTAAGATTTCAGAAACATCTGATCAGTGAAAAATATTGCGTGTTTTTATAATAAACGTTTATGAGCATCTATGTCTATGTAATTTTTTTTTCGTTTTTATAGTCGTTATCGTGCAATGGTTAGATACAAGTGCTAGATATTAGTTTACAAATTATAATTTATTTAAACTAAAACGTATTTATTTCAAGATAAAGTATTTTAAATCACGAAAATGTTCATTTAGTAGTAAAAAAGAAAGTTTTTTCTATCACATCATCTATACTAGTAGTCAAAAAAACTAATTGTGTAAGGTATTATCAATTTGATTTTTTCTTTTTATATGTTCGTTTCGGTCCATTTGTAGGATGTTTATTTGAAGATTGACATTTTTTATATTGTTGACTAGTATTAGCAATAGTATTTGTATTATTTCGTACAGAAGGCGACGTTGATTCTGTATTTTGAGTTTCTAAATGATAAAGAAAATAAAAAACCAAATAACTGAACACAAGAATTGATATCTTTCTAGATTTTAAATACAAACATATTTTGAATATTAAATAGAAAAATAACTCTTTAGTATATTTTTATAGTATTCACATGTTGAATTAATATTATTTATAAAATTGAGTAGTGTCACATATCCAAGATTTTGGAGATGCCACCGCATCTCCTGCGGGAGACGCCGCATCTCCAGCGGGAGATGCGGCACCCACACTCGGGAGATGAGGTCATTCACCACTGGAGATGTAAGATCTCCTTTAGACAGACGCATCCCCCACACCCACACTCACATCTCTCGCGCGAGATGCGGCATCTCCCGCAGGAGATGTGGTGGCATCTCCAAAATCTTGGATATGTGACACTGCTGATAAAATTATATGAAAATGTATATTTTTTATAAAGAATAAATTTTACCAGTTGACGGTTGTAATATTTCATCGCGATTGATCACATTTTGAGAATCATATGCATTTGAAATATTCGTTGTTGATGTTATATCCTTATTTGTATTATCAATAATTGAAATATCGTTTTGTTGATTGTTTATTATAAATGGTGTTTGATTATTTAGTTCAACAATTATAGGTGGTGTTGTTGAAAGTATAATATTAGTTACTGGTGAAATACTGAGATTTGATTAAATATTTGACGTAGCATTATCTAGTGTATCCTTATCGGTTAAAATATTATTATTAGGATGTTTGTCTATTAAATAAATATGCGATTTAATATATTTATTTTATAAAGAAATATACTATTTGATATTGTTATAAGAGAATTAGATGTAATGTTTTTCTCAATTCGTTCTTCTAAATAAACAGAATATATGCTTGGCTTAAAATTCTTTTAAAATTTCAATACGATATTTTTCTTCGAGTATTTGATGTTGACTAAAATTTGTTAAATTTTCATTAACATGATAACATGTATTATCATTGAATGATGATAATATACTATGAAAAAGTGATACTTTTTCTATATTGTTTATAATATTGACACTATCAAATTTATTTTGGAATTGTTGATTTTTTGTGGTATCTAAAGAGAATATTGAATATTCTATTTAATGAGGTAATACACAATGCACTATTACTTTGAACAAGAAGACTTTGAGATGGTTGTTCATTAATATTATTTAAAGATGATACATCATTATTTCGTTCAGTTTGTAAATTAATGCATGATAGTTCACGTACTTCATCTATAATATGACGAATTTAGCTAATAATATATTTATGTAGATATTGAAAATATATTATCAATAGTTTATATGATGGGACTAATGCAATATCTATTCTACAGAGAAAACAAATATTAATTTGTTGATTAAATACTGTGGATTCATTGTTTATGTGTGGAATTGTGGATGATTCATTGTATGAATTTTGATAATTTCCAATCGTATTTAACAATGTATTATATATGATTACTTAATGATTGAAAAGAAACAAATGTACGTGTAAAATTTTCTTGTTTATAGAAACACTTCTTTTTTTTAAATACGAGATACATACGATCAAGATTACGTTCAGGATATTTAATTTTTGAATTTTCATACAATATTTTGTGTTCTGGTAATCTTAGTATTTGTTTTCCAGTTGTTGTTAAGATTTGTTTTTCTTTCAAAATGCTGTTAGAGAACGATGTCATATAAGTCTCAACATTCATTTTGATATCTGCAAGCATATGGTCAATAATGGATCGTTTATTTATATCATTTAAAATATAATCGGATGGAAATGATTTCATATAAACGATACCACGTGATGTTGTTACTATGTATGCTTTCATAATAAAAAGAAGAAAATATATTATTAGATTATTAAATAAGAATATTTTAATTTATATTATTCAAAAATGTTAATTAATAAATACTCACGACCTTGTCGTATTAATTCATAATTTATAAATTCATCAAAAACACTATTTACCATATCTGTTGGAAAACGACGAAGTAAACCCATTGTTCCAGTTAAATCTCGTTTGATAAAAAATAGTGGCATTTGAAAAATTGCTTCACGAATCTTATTTATTGTTGAATGTACTAAATTAGATTTTCAAAAAAAATTTAATTAGAAAGATAGAAATCTCTAAGATATTTTTATACTAGAAATCGGTTCTATTTTTGATATGATATCATTAGAAATAATTGGTTCAGTATTATAAATAGTAAATAACATATTTAATAAATGACTACATTGTAAATAACCAGCAAGAGGACAACGAGATGAATCGATTTCTAATATAATATTTGTTGATGGATATTTATTCTCGATTAACTGAGTAGCATTACGAATAAATGCAACACTTATATCATCATATTCAAGTTTTTTTTGTTCTTGAAGAATTCTTTCAATAAAAATATAAATTAAATATATTATATTTTAATTCACGAAAATATTCACGAAATAGATTTATAAAAATAATATGCATGCACATACTTTAATATTTCCATAGAATTTTTGACTATTTGTGATATAGCAGCAAGTTTACATAAAATTTCAGCTGATTTTCCCATACGTGAGCCATAATTCACATCATTTGGTTTTTCAAATTGAGATAATTCTTGATATTGACGTACTTTATTATAAAATTTTTTTGTGCCATTTCGACTTAAGATCAATTGACGTTGTCCTAATAAATGACAGATGATCAAAATCTGTGACAAACTTGGTAGATTTTTATTTATATTATTCATTTTTTGTTCCATTTGATATTCATCGTCACTTATATCATCTTCTATATCATTTATATCATCTTCATTGTCGTCATAATCTAATCTTTCAGGAATTGTAACAGTTAAATCTTTTTGTTTGGGCATTGCATAATGTAAAAATCTAAATAAATAACAAGAGTGAAAATGTTTTTTTTTGCTGATTCTATCAAATATTATGTTATTCTCTTATTTTAATTAACTTAATTAGACCTATAACATTAATAGTGTATAAAATTTAGAATTATATACATATCAATAATTATCGGAATTATAAACAATATATAGCATATATAGAAAAAAACATTTATGATTAATGCTAACAAAATATGAATATTAAATGAATATATGAATCACTAACCTTTCGGAAAATCCATCACTTTGATTGCCTTGTGAATAATAGTAGATTAAACGATGCCATAATCGACCAGTGGTTGACCAATAAATGATAATCGCGAACTGATTTCCAGATGATAACCCATAGTATCTTTACTTGTTGGTATTGTGCCAAAAAATTTACATGCTAGTATTCGATCTGCAGCACTTCCTTCTGATGATGGAGAATAAAAACCCATAGATAATAATGGCTTTTCTGCTTCATCTGTCAGAATAAGTACATTACATTTTGATAATTTCGCTGACAGTGAAGCTGTAGTAAATTCATCGATGACTCCTGCTTCATCTTTCGAAATTCCTAATGATTTTATTGTGTATAAAACAGATTTTTTTATCGGTGAAATTATTTTTGATTTACCACAACCTATAAATATCACATGAATATTTTTTTAAATTCTTTTTACAGTTTTAATTATTTATTTTTTGAACATACCGGAAGGTCCTACTAATAACAAGAAAAGATTTAAACCAGTTAGATGGTTAGTTATATTAACATTAGAATTTGCACAAAACTGTCCAATACAAGTAAACAATGATAACAGTAAACCAACTGTATCAGTTCCGTTTAAGGCTTTAAAATTGTTTAAAACATCCATCAACAATATAAATGAATCATTCAATACATGTTCAACATTGATGACTATGTTTCGTGCATTTGAAAGATTTCGTTGCCGTATGTTATTGAATATTAATTCTTGATTTCTATTTCATCTACTTGCCATTTTATAATACGATAGAAAAATTGATTTCTAAACTTATTAGATATTAGTATTCTCGTTTTTATAGACGAAGTATGTGATCATGCTAAAATTGCGCGTTAATTAATTTTTTCTCTTTAGAAGTTTATCTTATTTATAGGAGCCAGTCCACATAAGTCATGACCTACTGCCACAGGAGACTGCTCAATCATAGTCTTAGATCTCTCTAATATCTATTCCATCTTTTAGAGCATATTATTTTAGGCAGAGAACCGACTTTTAACTCTTATTAAGGATGTTTTTGTCTAGCTCAATTGACTTTTCGAACGGTTTTTTGTAAGATTTTTCAAATTTTTTAGTAGAAAACAATAGAAAAATCACCTTCCTGATGGATTTTCTCTCAAGATACGGATGGGATCATGTTCAAACTTTCTTTTCCAGCACTCCGGGGCTGAGGACTATTGCAGGATGCAACCAAAAATTTGGGATCTCTGATGGCACAAAACAGGTCGTGCCTTACGTGGACTGACTCATAGATATATTTTATTTAATAAAAAAAAGAGTTCATGACCAAAATCAATTACAAAATAATTGAAAATTTGGTTGTGGGTGTTGCTGATCAAAGAATTAAAAGTCACCCACACCCCATACCTTGGTAGACCCTGATAGACCCTGGTAGGCGGTCTACCAGCTTTCTATGCTACCCTCATCGAGAGAGGCGACATGCAACTCGTTTTGCGGCATCCACACTAAGTGAGATGTGATGTAAGTTGTTTCGCGGCACCCGCACCGAGAGAGATGTAATGTAAGATGCTTCGCAGCACCCACATCGAGACCCTAGTAGACCCTGGTGACTTGGAGAGAAGCTAATAAATCATTGTGAATTAATTAATAAAACTCAATAGAATTTGAACCATTTTGTAATTCGATTTTTCGAATTACTTTCTCATTCATTTGCGTCATTCAGTGTAAAAAAATTAATGTAAGATTTTTTTACGAAAATAACTTAAATCAATGATAAGATCAATTCAAAATTTATCATACTTTTAGTAAAGTAACTATTCTTTTTTTATAAATTTTAACTAAGTTTTTTAATTATTAAGTTGAATAATGAAAACAAATATTGTATAGTATGATATGACTAATTTCATGAGTTCTATTTCTAAAACGCAGGTTTACAAAATAACATAAGATATTAATAGTTTATATACTGATACTACAAATACATGTTTATTATTGAAGACAAATTCAAAGTCAAGAAATGTATACTATAGTTAATAGTAATGACATATATTGTAAAATATTTTTTTTCTGAATAGATTTATAGCTGATAAGAGACATAGTTATTTAAAAAAAAGAAATAATTATACAGTTAATCACAGATTTTCTTGTTATGGGATGTTTTCATTACTTGAGAATGAAAGTGAATAAACCTACTATTCTTTTTTGAGATAAGTCGGATTTATTTATATATAACACTCCTTTGCTATTAATAATATATTGAGTATTTACTATTTCTTTGTTATACTAGCGAAGCTTTATTTTTATTATATATGATATTATTTTTTTTTCGATTTTTAAATATTTATGTATATTTATGTATTGGAGGAAATTACATAATTTTATGTTCTTTTTAATTTGTAGAATTTTTAAACCAATTCATATTAATACAAAGCATATATTTGAAATTATCCGGATGAACCAATAATATAATTTTTTTAAGGAACAATAGTTAGTTGTGTATTAGGCATTGTAATAAGTGTTCGTGCACCTAAAATATAGAGAAGAATCTTATTTTTAATAATTATTTGTTATATTTTCTTAATTTTTTCAAAATCAATGTCTTTGATATGAACATACCATCGAACCAAGAAACTTTAACATTCTTCATTCTGATTTTAAGTCCAGCCATATTCCGGTCAACCATACGAGCCTGTTTAAAAAAATGTTATAGATGATATTCTTATATAGCTAGTTACTTGATTATTCCATAATGTCATGCCAAGATGAGCTCCATCTTGATCGACATGTAAATATCGTCGACTCCATATGTTTTCATTCTTTACTCCTGTTGAAATACCATAATCACGAAAAATTCGCACTTCAACATCTGAAATAATAGAAAATGATAGAATATTAGTAGTAAACTTATTTTATTTTAGAAAATAGATCTACAGTTTTATTTAGTTAAATTTATTTAAATATTTTATTGTTCAAATATTGATCTAGATTTTATACTTTTATTAGTTATTTTTATTTATGAAAGTGAGCGATAAATTATATCAATAATGATTGTATATTATAATTATTGCAACAGAACTTACCTATTATCGAATTTAATGGAAGAGTATTAATTTGATTTAAATGTATAAAATTATACGTGATATTATTTAAATCATATGATAGATTAATTTCTTGTACACGAGTTGCATGTGTACAAGTCAATTGATATGGATGCGGTAATGTTTTAAAGCAATC